TTCTTGACTCTGTTTTGACACTGGACACAGCTGGGTGGATGAAGAGAGAGAGGGAGAGCTGGAGAGTGCGATAGGTGTTTTGCAAGTCACGCGCATTCCATCGTCCTTGCACTACCCCGATCGACGGTCGAACAAAACCCGGCGACTCTCTTTTCTTGTCATTTTTTAATAAGCTCATCCGATTTCAGTTTTGATGTTCCTCTTTATTTCCTGTTGTTGTTGCTTCCGTTCCAAACAGAGATGATGTTTGTCTGCGAGGCGGAGAGTACGTAATGTGTCCACCGTGCAATGTCAAGGGCTGCAAGTTCTGGTACCTCAATACCTCCTGTTTCGCCATGAAAATGACCCATCTAGTGGATAACGCCGGGACAGTGGTGTTTGCAATAGTCATGGCACTGTGGGGTAAGCTTACACTTTCTGCATACATACTTGCCAGTCCATGTCTTATTGCGTGCGGTTTTTTTCGTCACGGACCATAGGGCCGCGGCCGCTTGCACTTTTGTTCACCTGCGGACGGATTGGCTGTCCGAATTTGCCGCAGACTAGTTCAACTACAGTTGCACTGACGTTCAAGGCCGACGCCATATGTCTTGCTATGCAAATGCAGTGTTGTTTAAGCAAGTTTGCCTACGTTGGTCACCTAAGCCGACTGTACCACGCCTCGTTTAGATGTGCCGATGATTAAATGCTAGGATTTATCTGGATCACCGATTTTCCTCAAAGGCCCTGCTTAAGTGCGTACTCTGGTAGACTGCTTCGCCTTTCGCCAAGGAGTGTATAGCGAAGGCCATTTCCTTAGAAGGTTCTAAGCTCATGACTGTTAATTACACTTCGACGCATAAATCGTGTAACATGCCGAATTTTGCGAGATATTGATAAGCACTGGCAAACCGGCATTAGCACATGTACGAAAACTTAGAAGTAGTAATGAACAAAGTAAGAAAACTTTGTTACTCGAAAGAGCTAGAAGAAGTACTTATTCGTTCTTAAGAAGAACGAAATTTTCTTAGTAATACCCAAGTTCCGTAAACGCAAAAAGTAATTAAAAACTAGAACAATAAACTTAAATCTTTTCTTAAGTTGAATGAACTACTACACCACTTCCTCCGTATAAAAATAACTGGCAGGAGTTTCCTTGTTAGTGGCGGAGCAAAACTCCACAGTTCCAGGTTTGTCGACACCCATTCGAGCTCGATTCGAGGTTGATTCGAGCTCGATCCGAGCTCGATTTGAGCACGATTAGGGTAAGGATAAGGGTTAGTGTCAGGGTTAGGGGTTAGGGTTAGGGTTACTTTGAGAGTTAGGGTTAGGTTTAGGGTTAGGGTCAGGGTTAGGGCAAGGGTTAGGGTTTTGAGTTAGGGTTACGTTTAGGGTTAGGGTAAGGGTGAGGGTCACGGGTTAGGGTTAGGATTAGGTTTAGGGTTAGCGTTTGGGTTAGGGTAAGGTTTAGGGTTAGGGTAAGGGTTAGTGTTAGGTTCAGTGTTGAATAGTGATATGTTTTGTAAATAGCCCGAAGTTTCTGCTTACTATTGATAAAAGTCTTCAAAAAATCCATTATAACTGGGTTTTGCGCAAAGGAAAGTTTTCGGAATAAAACTTCACATTTCCAAGTTTGTCGAAATCGATTCGTGCTCGATTCGAGCTCTATTCGAGCTCGATTTGTTTTTGGCGCCTTTTTTCGATTTACGCGCTCAACGCCGTCTGCCTATAGCCACCGTATTAAATTATTTCAACAAAATTTTACGACTTGTTTTTTCTTATTTTCACAAAATCCTTTTTAGGTTAATCAGTTTTATCAACTTAAAAATAACCCCTTCTCACGGTTACCGTTTGAAAACTACCTACGGCTTGTTGTATCCAAGACCACTACCAAGTAAACTCCTGCCAAATAACTTTTCCTTAAGCCAAATATTTTTAACATATATTTTTTTGATCACAATTACCTACAGATGGACCTTTAAATACCGATAAATTTTCCAGCGTTTTCATTGTCTCCAAGTTTTCGTCCATAAATCCAGATTCCTTTCGACGTTTATATCAAAACCTGACATGGTTATTCCTATGATTAATAAAAAAACTTTCTATCATAAGTCTCCTCTTTTAAAAGCACTTTGACTAGATATTCAGCTTACGAATTTCTGTACATATTACCCTTTTCCAAGGAATTTTTAAAATGAAAATGGAGATTATAGACAAGTTTTCAAGTTGCCTGAAGATAGATGATTCAATTTCAATGGAAATTAAAGAATCCCCTTTTCTCTTTGTATTGGAAAATTCTCCGCCATAATGGATTTTTTCCACGTTCTCTTCTACAAAAAGTATATTTCTACATGATTTGGATTTAATAAGATTTGGTTTTACCTAAACATTCACGCAAATATATGACCAGCTTTTGGTTACGTAATAAAAACTTGATGCGGTAAAACAAATTGCGCTCAAAACCTTTTTGTTGTAACGGTGGCCAAAGCTGCGTTATCGTCGTCTACGTTACACCTTGT